GCGTGGGCTATGGCCAACTACGACTTGTCAACTCGTCTTGCCGCTGAACAGGCACAATTGGATCAGAAGGAGGCTAAAATCAAACAGGTACCTCAAACCATGTCTAAATGTTTTTGTTTATATCAAATGGCAGGCGTTTTGAAAGTTATCATTAGCCCTGGAGCTGACTTCGGGGCTTCACAGAGAAGAGAAGGAACATCAAAGTGACAAAAAGTCGGGATGGGGGACAGAATAATGATTCACAGAGGTAAACGAGACAGACAGACACAAAGGCATAAAAAAGGTAAGATGAGTACTGTGAAAGGGGTTGAATATGACAAATAGTCGGGTCATAGAAGTTTGAAGTCAGATGTCAACTGTCGATCAATAGACTTTTTGCCGCATAATACGTTGCCCAGGGTGCACCACATGGAGGTAAGTCTATTACGCACCCCCTATGTCTAAATGCACCGTTAGTATTAAAAGAAGTATCGTATTACTCGTAAGTTCCTTTGTTGAAATGTTTTATCTGAGTTAAAAGATTCGGTTTATACTCAACTGAATAAAATCGTAATTTAAATTGAATAATCTTAGACTATAAGTGTATTTCATATTTTATTTCAACTTTGATAGTTGTAAGACTATGTGGAATTGCATCTGTAAATGAAATCATAGCATGTCAAGGTTTGCCATGTTAATTGCCTTTCTTTAATTCAGATGATGGCCTCAGATAACGTTTCTGACAAGGCTACGTTCAACGAGGGCTTGGCTACTATAAATCAACGACGAATTCTCCTTCAAAAGAGTATTGAACAGCTTGCAGCTCCTTCAGTTCGTGGGTACATTAATTCTATCAGCATCTCAACTGGCAACAATCTTCAAGTAAATCTTCAAAATTCCTCAGTTGTTTGTTGAGAACCCGATGCTGGTCGCTAATCTTCGTCCCTTTTTTAGGATATTCTTCGGCTGATCAATCAACTCTTCCAATTCGGCCACTTCGCTGAAATTCAATCAGTAGTTCGTGATGGATTGAGCAAGATTCGTCTACAGAATTGGCTACCCGTACTTCAGCAACTTCTTGCACGAATTGATACTCCTCATGAACATGTGGCCAGTATTATTGTGGATCTTATTATTGGAGTTAGTCGCCAATATCCGCAATCTGTAGTAAATAACCTTGTATTGGCGTTTAAGTCTGGTGGATCTGATAGAAGACGATACTATGCAACGAAGATCCTCTACTTTATGGAAGAGCACAGTCCACGTCTGGTGTATGAGGCCTTTCTGGTAAGCTTTACAACTGAGTTTGGTACTAAAAAAAGGCCTCTATTGGTTCATAATGTAGTCTCAGTGGATGACTTATTCAAACCACATATATATAAGTTGAAGAGTTCTGAGTTGTCCAGCAAGCCATTAATATAATCTCAAAGTTTAAGGAATGTATAAATGGGTATATTTTTTAATAGCTATCTCGCTTAATCGTTCCCTTGTTTTCCGTTTAAAGATTTGCTAATGGCAAATATTGGGTGGGCAACTAAGTCATTGCCGTTTTTGTTGACAGATTCACTCTATACTTTCTTTTGTTTTGTTAACGTGGCCAGAGCATCTAACCTATATTTTTTTCTTACTGTATGGGCTTCTAGGTTAATTAGTAAAAAATTTTTTTGTTTAGTTCTTTAGTTTTGTTTTTATCCCAATTTAAAAATGAAAGAACAGGACGTGCATTTCCGACACATTTTATTGTATTACTTCCGAAAAGGCAAGAACGCATCGCAAGCACAAAAGAAGTTATGTGCCGTATATGGCGATGAAGCCTTAAAAGAAAGGCAGTGTCGAAATTGGTTTGAAAGATTTCGTTGC